CGGTGCGAATTGTTGGAAGGGAAGCGTGCTGAAGTGACTTTGTCCCAAGAGTTCTTTGGGGAATGACACGTCCTTGAGGCTAGGAAGAAATGGAGCCTGAGGATTTCCTCCGTTGCGTGGTTGAAAAGGGGCAACCACGCTGAGAGATCCTCTGAAGAATTCCTTCTCACCCATTTTCAGGTTTTCCAGAAGCCGACTGGCGCGGCAGGAAGGCGATGGCAGCAGATAGCAAGGCCAAATACGAGGACTGGCCGAAAGCCTCCTTTGACTTTGGGAGCTCAAAATGTTGGTAGCAGCCTTGGCTTTTGGACCTTTCGGATCCTGTGATTCCTGAAATGTGGAAAGGGCTTCGATTTCTCCCTGCTGAACCTGAGCAGCCTGAGCTGGTGAAGCGAAGCCTTGAGCGCCTCAAGGCGGAATCTCATCCTTGTTTGGTTTCAAGTTGCTTTCGCGTAGAAAGCTCCTTGTGTTGAACTTCGGCCCTGTAGGAGGTGTCGCTTGAATGGACCTTGTGGTAGCGTACCGCCAATCTACATCAACCCTCATTATCAAAAGACTCCTACCTCCAGGATCCGAAACCTTGGTCGTCGATGCAGCCGCAAGTTTCACGCATGTCGCATGAAGAAGCGCCCTATTTGTGGACTAAGTTGAGCATAGAGTGGTCTACTTTGTCCTTTTGTCCTTTTGCCGGCTCGGGTGTTCACGCATTTTCCCGGGCCAGGAGCCGGCGAAAGAGGCTAGAAGCAAGTATGCTCAAGCCATGCTTCTTGGCAAGAGAAACTGGTGTAGCTACAAGAGGCTGAAAGCACGGTGGCTCATCAATGGCTTTACTTTTGGGGCTATTTGGGGCATCTGTGTTGTGGGGCATGGATCTGGACATTTTCTGACAACGCACAGGTCTATTGATTTGAAGATCAGCACAGCGTCTACCTGCCTTCGGCGCATGTGGTGAGAACTTCCCAAGCAGGTGTTGCATCAAGGGCTAGCTCATTAGACGCGAATGCCTCCTATTGCAATGAGCTGTCCTCGCAGGTGGCAGCTAGATGTTGCAACCCGAGAGCAAGTATGTCGGAATGGGGGCCAATGTGGCGCGGCTTAGACACAGGATGTAGAACCGTAGCAAGTCACCGATGGACAAATCCTGCGCCAGTTGGGATGCATAAACCCCTGTGAGTACAAGGATAAACCACCAATCCCAACCAACTGATGCCAAGTTATTCTGTCCATCCACAGCGTATTTGTTCTTTTTTTTTTTTTTTATTGTTTTTGTCCATCCACAGCGTTAATTGTCTTCCCGCCTTAAGCAAACAGCTTCTATAGATGTGACTTGTCCTCAGCAAGCAACCTGGCAGCCCAAAGCAAAGCCCGTATTTGAAAAGAATCGTCAAGCTTAAAGCTTGGTCGTGTCCAAACGTATCAACTGGACCTTTCAAGTATAGTTGGTGTCCTTTGGTTTCCCTTCTCAAGATGTCTCCAGGACAATTGGGCTTTCTCAGGACGCAGGTGATATCGTGTTTTAGCCGACTCACAGCCTTTTTGACCAACATGAGTTCTTCGCGCTCCAGCTGGCAATTCTTGGCAGTCTACTTGCGGCAGTTTGCAAAGAGAACTTCCTGTGGAACGAGTCGTTCGTCGGCTCATTTGTGTGACTCTTGAGTGTTCCAGAGGGTGGCTCATGTTTGCTGGGGTTCTGCTCATTGGATTAGTCAGGAAGAGCTACGTGGAGTCCGGCAAGAAGGCGCGACGCATGCCCGACGGATTCCCACAGGATGTTGCCGGAGAGTCTTTCTCTCCCGTCTTGTTTGCATTTGTTGGGTCTTGGCAAGGGTTTCTATTTCCAGAAGCTTCCCAACTCACATGGTGCTATCATGACCCCCGGTCCCCCGGATTTTATCCTTGTGTCAGATTCCTCAAAGATTGGCGGGTCAGAGCAGATTCCAACAGAGGTCACCTTTTGCAGGGAGCCACCTTAATATGTCCGTTGTCGGATGGCTTCACCCCGCGCTCGATCCCTTTGGGAATGTCTGGATGCATGTTTGGGAGGGGCTACGGAGCCGAGCCAAGCCTCGTTTTGCCTATCTGACAGTCCTACAAAATTGGTTTCATCGGCCAAGTCGAAGGACAACCCAACAATTTGAATTGCGGCTTCCTTTTCTTCCATGTTTTCCGTCTTTAATCAGCTGTTTTTCAGCCTGATTCGGCCTCCTGGTTTGTTCAGTTCCTGACAAGGACGCTTGGAAGCGGGACCCAGAGCGTCCCACGCGGCCGCTGTTGCCGTACATGCGCTTCATGCAGGCCGGTCGTTTTGCGGTGGGAGCGGGCAAATGGGGCCGGCAAGTCCTCAAGGCGGGCGTCCCACGCTTGCCCTTGATGTCTTTGAGCATTTGAACTTTGGGCCAATGTGAAAGGAAGTTGTTTTAAAGGTGGAAAGATGCTTAAAGCGGAAATGCAGCGAGTTCCGAACGAATGAGAGTTTTGGCGTTATAGGAATGTGGAAACAGAACCAGAGGTGGATCAAGTATTTTTCGCTTCGTCATGTTGTTTGTTGAGGGTTGGCTTCCCTGTTTGGCCAGCGCTTCAGCCTTTGTTGCTGGTGGGCTGCCTTTGACCAGCTCCAGGCTGGCTTTTGCAAATCTTCGATTTGGGTTTACCCAAGTATAGGGGAATTGGCTTGAGTTGCAAATGTTCGATTTAGGTTTACCCAAACACCACGTTTGGCCGGTTTCCGTATGTCAAGCTCCATCCGGCAGGAGTACCGCAAGACGGCCACGGGATCGATGCTCGAGGCCTGGTTTCCCGCCCGCCCTTGGGGCCGGTTGCTCGAGGCTTGTCGTTTTTTTTGTTTGGTTGGTTTCCAGCAGGTTTGGTTTCCCGCAGGTTTGGTTTCCCACAGGTTTGGCTTCCTGGGTTCCAGGTTTCCCAGAAACTCCGCTTTTGGACTCACACGTTTGCCATCTTGACTGCCACTCGCAAGTCACCTTTTCATTCAAAACTAAGACATCACCAAATTCTTCACCTTGGGCAACTTGTTCTTTGGCTCACTTGCCCCTACCATTAAGTTCATGACAACAGCATCACCCTCCCGGGACACTGAAAAGCCATCTTGAACTTTTGGAGCCTTCGAGATGGGTTCAATTGTCTAAAAGAATCCGTTTCTCGTTTGACAACTCCGCATTGATGCGGCAGCCGTAGTTGAAAGAAAGAGCTGCCATGCGCCTCCGATCCAAACCCCCAAAAGTTGGAAGCGGTGCTGCTCCCCCCCTTTCCCCGACCAGGTCACCAAGTCTGGGGCTTCGGAGTGGAGGGCCATGAGCGACGCCGAGAAGCGGCGCCCCTCGATCCGAATCGCGCGGATCGCCGCGCGAGGCGAATCGGGTGAGTCGCTTTTCTCACGTTGTTTTGAGAGAGGCTCAGAATGAAGCTTCAGTTGCCGGTTCATGGTGGAATCTTTTTTGTTGTTTATTCCGGAACAACAGTTTTCTGTGTTTCATATGGCGTGGGATATGTGAGAATGAGCCTTATCTCCTTGTATGATTTTCCACGGATCGCCCTCATTCCACACCTCTTCTTTGCCCAAGCAATAAAGCTTGAGTGTACCCCTCTGTATAAGAGAAGCCAACTTCTGCACACTTTTCACTTGTCCATCCGAAAGCTCAGCCACCAACTTAACTCCGCAGTGCGAATGGTCTCACATTGGGGAGTGGTTGTCAGCGTTTGGGGAGGGGCGGCCTGCGTGTGAGGACTAGAGTTGCCACTTTGCAGCAAGCACCACGCTGCAAAATGCCACCCGCACGAATGCAATGCAAGAGTATCCTTCAAGTGTCAACCTTGGGCGCAAATCGTGTGTATGCGAGATTGATTCATGGGTCTGTTGGAAGAGTGTGGCTGTACAAAGCAAAGGGACTGGGGTGCTTGGCGTTTCCTACAACTGGGGACCCTTTTTGGATGTACAAAGGTTGAAGGTCCCCAGATTTGCTGGAAACGCTAACCGCACTGCCCGACACGCTATACGAGAGCGCCAAGTTCTCGTACCTCAATCTGGGGATCCTGTGAGTGGAGATTTCTTTCGCAGGTTTTTGGGCGTTGATTGGGGGTCAAAAGCTAAGGCCTTTCGATTCCGTTTCTTTTTGACGCTTTTGCGAAGAAACATGTTGGAGAATCTTATATAGAGGAAAACTGTTTTTTCTCCGTTATCTCTTTCTCTCTCCCTCTTTGATGGTCATCCTGGCCGGCAAGGAAGTACAGTAAGTTGCTTGCTGGAGGTGCTTCCGAATAAATTTGTCCAGTGCCACGACATTTTGCTTTTACAACCCTCTCCCCCAAGACGGGTCGTTTCGTTGAATTGGTTAACTTGGTTTCTGCTTCCGTGCTTTCTATTTTTAGCAGCACATCTCCTTTGCTGAGAAACCCACTGGCGCGAGTACCTTGGGGATTTGAATTTCCCTGGAACCAAGTGGCAATGGCTCTGCGATCCCCTTGTGCCTTTTGTCCCACGATGGGGCATATGGCTCCATTTCGGGGTGGATCAACATCCATTTGCCAGCTATTTTGAGGTTCACCAGGGGTCTCCTGGGTTTTGACCCACAGCCACGTGATTAGAAAGGGTGCACCCAAGGAGTCGGCCAAACTTAAAGCCCCGAGGCTGGGCAGGGAGCTACGACACCGAGAAGGCCTTTGTGAGAGGAAGCGAGTCAAGTGACATCGGCCGATTGCTTGGAATCAGCACAATCACCACTGAAGCCTTCTTTGCGTGAACATGATCAACACATAAGTGAATACGCATGTTTATATATATACACACATACAACTAATATAGCAATTATGGTGTATATATATATATATACATATACATATATATATATATATGCACATGTTTTATCTACTGCCCCCAATCTGGTGCTGTGCAGGGGCACGGGTAGACTTTTTTGCACCATTGTCACCATGTTTTCTCTTGACCAGGCCCATCTTTTGCGAGAAGTCCTGCAATACTGCAGGGCAAGTTTCTGTAGCTTCTCGGTCAAGGAAACATCTGCAGTTCAGCTAGGTTCTCTGACAAGGCCCTTTGAAAAAAAGAGAGCTGCAATTCGAAGAGACGTGGTGTGATGTTCACCTTTCCCGTTCTTTAAGTTGTGAGTGCTAAAAGTTTGAGGTGCCATTGCCAAATTTTCAGGACTTCTTGGGAAATCATCATCTGATCGAATAAGCCTTCCGAATGGAACAGGCTGCTGAGTGACATGCCAGATTTTGTCCTTACAATCTGAGGCCACCCAGGGTACGATTGAAGAGCTTGATTTGCTGGCACACGTAATACTAGTTGTCACAGGCTGTTAGCCCACCCGGAAATGTTTTGTTTTACGCACCTTGAAGCGGTTGCGGACCAAGAGCTAAAAGCCAGTCCGGATTTTGGAAACATCTCCCGCTTTGAAGTGTTTTGCGTCCGGGCTCAGAGCCCACGAAAGGGGGACCAAGGCTTATGCTTTGGCTCGTGCAATCTTGGTCCTTGATCCCAATAAAGCTCTTGGGCTTGGGCGGCATTCGAAGATCGTTACCTCATGCCAGGTTCCTGCAGACATGCCAGGAATCATGAGGGTAATCCAGGGATGAGTATGTATGTCCGTATTTCCATGTTTTTTACAATATTCACATACATGCATGCAGACAGCCAAATCGGCCAGCCGGCAGGCAGGCAGGCAGGCAGGCAGAGAGGCACACAGACAAACAGACATGTCCATACAGACATGCACATGCACATATGCATGTACATGTATATGTTCTTGTACCCTAATGTATTTTGTTTCACACACTTCTCTTCAGAATGTCATTTTGTAAAGCTAGACACCAATGATAATAAGCGCATTTACGAATGACACCACAGCAAGTGATTCCTCCCATCATGAAGGTGCCAGATGCTTCGCAATCTCTCAATCCAGGCTGGTAAAGTCAAGACATGTGCACAGGTCATTGGGATAATGTTGACAGACAGGCGGAGGGGGGGGCTCCAAAGGCACGTGTGACTTTTGCTTTCATGCTTTTCCATCTTGGAGCAGGCACAAAACATATTTGAGTGCATGTCTTTTCGACAAAGTTGTCACATGCTGTCGCCTTTAAAGAGGTCCGCAACCAGGCTTGCCACATTGTCGCCGAATTCCCAACTAGCCTGCTTTTGACGTTCAGAAGGGGGTGCCACATCTTGCGATGCGGGTTCAAACCTTCCCCCCCCTGCATGGGTGGCAAATCAGTGAGCATCGTGAAGGTGATCGCTGGGATGCTTTGCACTGGCAACTGACATACCACGTGAGATCGCAAGCCCTATTTGTGAGGTCAATAGTCTGCGGAGTTTGCTTGGGGAGGTGCCCAGGGGGTTCTACAAGCTGCGCCCAATTTCCCCTTGCACTTTGGCAGAATTCGCCTTTCACACGCACACACATACACACGTGCTCTTACCAATGCGTCTCTACGTTTCGCCTTATTGTCTCGAAATAGACCCCAAAATGGATGGCTTCCTTTTGGCTTCCAACGAGACACACTCCAAAAGGCGCGTAATTTTTGGGATCCCTGTGAAAGTCAAAAGCCGCAAGGACCGTCTTTAACGGTCCGAGTGCCGCGAGCCCGATTCTTGCGGCAGGCGGAATATGCGGAAGCAATGAGGAAATACAAGGAGCTTGTGCCAGCGTCTTGTATCGCTAGACATGTCATGAAAAAGAGTCTGACATACTTTTGAGTTGGGGACGCGAGGTGTGAACTTGATGGGACCAAACCGCGGCTCTGAAATCCCGCAGCTGTGGTTTCAAGAAGGATTGTCACGGTTGATGCCTCTTTTTTTTTGCGGTTCCGTTCCAAGGGCGCCCTTTCACAGCTGATTCCTCTTTGGTGCATTTGCTTGGATGTTAGGACTTTGACTTGTTGCCAACAAATGTTTTTTATTAAACCACTAAAAGTTAAACTTTTTGGCAGGGGAGCAGTTGTCCTTTTGAGAAGGTAAACAAGTCGGTCGGAGTGAGGATCCCTTGCGACAAAAGCTATGCGAACATGCATGCTTTGGGAGAACTGGAGCCACTTTTTTGCAAACAAGGGGCAACAGCCAGGGACTGAAGACAGGTTCGGTCGTGATGGCGATGCTACTGCTGATGATGATGAGGATGAGGATGGTGAAGGTGATGGTGATGATGAGGCGGCAGGATGCCAAACACGAGAGCAGAAGATCCACGCAATGTTGACCCCTGATGGTACATACTGCAAGTCAAACAAACGATGCATTAAGACATGAACACACAAATGAATAAATTAATGAATGAATGAATGAATGAATGAATGAAATGAATGAATGAATGAATGAATGAATGAATGAATGAATGAATGAATGAATGAATGAATGAATGAATGAATGAATCAATCGATGAATGAATGGATGAATGAATGAATGAATGAATGAATGAATCAATCGATGAATGAATGAATAAATGAATGAATGCATGAATTAATGAACGAACAAATGAATGA